TTTTTCTTTTTAGTATTTTATTTTTACTTTATGTGTATGAGTATGTTGCCTGCATGTATGTGAGTGCACCCGTGTCGTGCAATGCCACGGACGTCAGAAGAGGGCTTCAGATTTCCCTGGAACTGGAGTTAAAGACGGTTTGTAGGCACCATGTGGGTGCTGGGAATCGAACCCGGGTCCTCTGCAAGAGTAGTCAATGCTCTTAACCACTGAGCCATCTCTCTAGCACCTATTTTATTTTTTTATGTATATGAGTATGCTGCCTACATGAATGTAAGTGCATCTATGACTTGCAATGCCTCTGGCAGTCAGAAAAGGGTGCTGGATACCCTGGAACTGGAGTTACAGATGGTTGTTAGCACCATGTGGGTGCTGGGAACTGAACCTGGGTCCTCTGCAAGAGCAGCCAGTATTCTTAGCCACCAAGCCATCTCTCCAGCCCTGTAGTCCCTAGATTTTAAATATCAAATCATTTCCTACAATGTTATTTTGAATATTCCAGAGGTAGAAACCGGCATAAACATGGTGGTTCTCAAACCTCAGCAAGATCCTCAGCTCATCAGAATGAAGCCGGGAAAACAACCTGGGGCAGTCTGAAGTGTGGTCAATGTGACAGCACTAAGAAATAACACTTCAGGCCAGGTGTGGTGGTGCACGCCTGTAGTCCCAGAACTTGGGAGGCAGAGGCAAGGGAACCCCTGTGAGTTCAAGGCCAGCCTGGTCTACATAGTGAGTTCCAGGATAGCTGGGGCTACAGGGAGACCCTGCTTCAAAAAGAAAAAAAAAAAAAAAAGAAATAGCACTTCAATAGGTGATGATGCCATAAGGATACCTCCCTCATGAGTGAAATGAAGTAACTTTACCAAGGAGCTTAACAGAAGTGTGTTCCCTTTCTTCCACCTTCCACTGTGAGGTACAGCACTTCTCACCCCTGGAAGAGGTGGCATGCAAGGCACTATCGTGAGTTGGGCATGGGGGCTCAAACCTGTAATCCCAGTTCTTAGAAGGGCTGCCGAGTTCCAGGCCAGCCTGGGTACGTAGTGAATTGCATGACAGCCTGACTTACCATGTGAGACTGTCTCACAAAACAGGAGGCATCAATGAAGCAGAGCACAGACCTCAAAAGAAACTGCACCTGTCAGAGCCTTCACCTCAGACTTCTCAGTCTTTTGTGAGAAACTTAATTCCGTTCTACATAAATTACCCAGGCTCAGGTATTCTGTTATAGTAGTTCAAAACAAACTGAGGCAACAGATCTACAGAAATAAACGTAAAAAGCTGAACAGTGTTTGACACCTGTAACTCTGAGTTCCAGGCCAGCCTGGGCTTCAATGTAAGACCCTGTTTCAAAAAAATAAAACAGGCAGGGCTGAAGCGAGAGCTCAGTGGTTAAGAGCACCAGCAGCTCTTGTAGAGGACCTGGGTTTGAGTCCCAGCACCTACATGGCAGCTAACAACCACCTGAAACTCCAGTACCAGGGGATCCAACACCCTGACCTCTGCAGGCACTGCATGCATGTGGTACACCTGTACACATGTAGGTAAAACACTCATACATATGAAATTAAAAAACAAAACAGGGAGGCTGGGCGTGGTGGTGCACGCCTTTAATCCCATCACTTAGGAGGCAGAGGCAGAGGCAGAGGCAGGCAGATCTCTGTGAGTTCAAGGCCAGCCTGGTCTACACAGGGACCAGCTGGGGCTACAGGGAGACCCTGTCTCAAAAAAGACCAAAAAAAAAAAAGAAAATAAAAAAGGGGCTGGAAGCCAGGTGTGGTGGTGCAAGCCTTTAGTCCCAGCACTCGGGAGGCAGAGGCAGGCAGATCTCTGAGTTCAAGGCCAGCCTGGTCTACATAGTGAGTTCCAGGACAGATGGGGCTACACAGAGACCCTGTCTCAAAAAGACCAAAAAAAAAATGGGGGGGGGCCTGGAGAGATGGTTCAGTGGGTAAGAATACTGAGTTTCAATTCCCAGCACTACATAAAATGCCAGGCATAGCTGTGGGTGCCTATAACCAGAACACTGGGGGCAGAGACAAGCAGATTTCAAGAGCTTGCCAGAACAGGTCATCCGGTCTAAGTGTACAAAGAGCTCTAGTTCAGTGAGATCATGTCTCAAGAAGTAGGGCTAAGAACACTAGAGGAAGACACCAGTACCCTACTGTAGCCTCCCTAAGAGTGCGGACACCCGACACACATAAAACACTTCACACCACACATACACAAAACAAACAAAACAAAATCCAGGAAAGAATATGAAAAAAGGGTAAAGAACAGGACATTCTAGAAATGGACAGAGGAGGTCGCTGTACAAACTGTCAACATGTATGCATCACTGAACTGAATCTCTAAAAATGGCTACAGTGAGAAGTGTCTCACCTGCACTCTTTGATCACTTGGTGGATGTCAAACTCAAAGGCCGCCATCAAGATGTTGTCTAGCGGCTCTGGGCTGCTCTCACCTCCCAGAAACATGTCTAGGCTGGACTGCAGAAAGATGATGTCCCAATCAATCTCTAGAATGGAAGGAGAGACTTGGGGGTGGGGCAGCAGGACTGCTGTATGGGGAACCCTAGAGAGGCGAGAGGGGTCCCTTCCAAAAGGGGTGAAGGAAATAGCCTTCCTGTGCCCACAGAAGATCAATTCAAAGAGGCCACACACTGAGAATTACAGAGCCGAGAGCACCTAGCACACTCCTGCTCCCACCAGAGCTCACATACCTGGGCGTAGAAGTGCAGATCAATGGGCTTCACTGTGGGGTTAGAATATAACAGCCTCGTGACCAGGAAATGGTACCAGTTACTCAGAAGCTCCTTCTGCTCCAACAAAGTGGCCTCATCCCCCAGCATGATCTGAGGAGAGACATTGTGCTACCCTCACAGGGAAGTATTCCCAAGACATTACTGGTTATCAGTTGGGCCCCAGGTCTCAACTAGAGCTGAAAGTATCCTCCTTCACATCAGAGCAACTGACAGCCCAGCCCTCTGCAGGGAGGAGACAGATCCTGTGTCTGGGATGTCAGGGTACCAAAGTGCCCCAGGCCTGACCCGACTGCTTCCCCCAGACCTTGCAGAGAGACTCCAGATGGGGGCTGGCAGCAAATGTGTTGTCTTGCAAGTGCCGCTCACACTCCTCACGCCAGTGCTGCCACTTCAGCTCCAGCTCCGTCAGGGTCTGAGTGTTGCCAGGCTGAGGGGAAAGATTGGCAATGAGACACAAACCTGCCCAGACTCTCAGCGTCACAATCCCCTAACTCCCATGACCTGGCAGACAAGGCAGCTCCCACGTACACTAAGAATGGGCATTGTCCTCATCAGGTCCCCAAGGATATGGCACATGCCCGCTGAGGGAGGGTTGGCATCAGCTTCTTTGGACAGCATTTGTCGGGCCTCATCTAGCCGGCCCTGAAGCACCAAGACAGTCACCTGTAAAGAGATATGGGACCATGAGCACAAGAAGATACAGCTGTGCCAAGGTTGTGTGTTTTGTCTACATATGTAGGTGTACAATGTGCATGCACTGCCTGCAGAGGACAAAAGAGGGTGTGGAATCCCCCAGATCTAGAGTTACAGATGGTTATTAGCTGCCATGTGGGTGCTAGAAACTCAACCCAGGTCCTCTGCAAGAGCAGCCAGTTCTATTAACCACTGAGCCATCTTTCCAGCCCCAGCAAACAACTTTTTTTTTTCTTTGACAAAGGGTTTCACTATGTAGACCAGGCTGGCCTTGATCACAGAGATCTACCTACCTCTGCCTCCTGAGTGCTTGGATTAAAGGCGTGCACTACCACGTCCAGCCCAACTTTTTAAAATAAAATAGGGCACAAGACTTGTACAAGATTGGGCCAATCAACATCTCATCAAGGATAGGGGAGGAGTCCATGAGGCTCCATGCTCCCTGAGGGACTATGGTGAGTTAATGGTTGCTGGGTGAGGAGGTTTCACTTTCTTCAGTGATGCAGTCACCGGTATGCCCATGCTCCCATAAATGACCTCCCACCCATACTCATGTAAACTGAACTCTCACTAAATCAATGAGTCACACACAAAGATGAAGTAGGAGGAGGAGGAGAGTTGTGGGGAAGAAGGGTTTCAGTGGGAGAGGAAGAGAGGATGGCAATGACTAAAACTGATTGTTCTTCAAGATTTTATTTTTCATTATGTGTATATGTGTGTCTGCGTGTGGGGAGCTATGTGCATATGAGTGCTGGGGCCTGAGGAAGCCAGAGGAGCTTGAGTCACAGGCAGTTACAGGCCACCTGACATGGGTGCTGGGAACTGAACTTGCAAGGGCAGCACAAACTCTTAACCACTGAGCCATTTCTCCAGAATTCATTATATACATGTATGAAATTGTCAAAGAATTAAAAAGTAAAAAAGAAACGAAGGTTGAGGATGGCTCAGAGAAAGCACTCACCTTACAAGAACAGGCCCTGAGTTCAATCCAAAGAACATAACATAAAAATGTGTGCCGGGTGTGGTGGTGCACGCCTTTAGTCCCAGCACTTGGGAGGCAGAGACAGGCGGATCTCTGTGAGTTTGAGGCCACCCTGGTCTACACAGTGAGTTCCAGGACAGCTGGGGCTACAGGGAGACCCTGTCTCAAAAAGAAAAAAAAAATTGTACAGCCTGGAGTGGTGGTGCACGCCTTTAATCCCAGCACTCAGAAGGCAGAGGCAGGTGATCTCTGTGAGTTCAAGGCTAGCCTAGTCTATATACTGAGTTCCACATCAGTTGGGATTATAGGGAGACCCTGTCTCAAAAAGATCAAAAAAAAAAGAAAAAAGAAAAAAAAAATGTTTTTGATGGGGCTAGAGAGATGACTCAATGGTTAAGAGTACTGGCTGTTCTTACAGAACAACCTGGTTTGATTCCCAGTACCATCAGTAACTCTAGTTCCAGCAGAATGTGATGCCCTCTTCTGGTCCCTGGAGGCATTGTATGGCACTGGAACTCAAACCCAGGGATTAGTACATAGTAGGCAAGCACTCTACCACTATGCTACATTTCCAGCCCCACCCCTTCTTGTAAATTTGGAACAGGGTCATCCTAAGCTGCCTAGGAAAGTTCAAGGCCAGCCAGGGCTATACATTGAGACCCTGTCTCAAGACAAAAGAAACAAAGCTGGGCACGGCAGTGCACACCTATAACCCAGAATTCAGGAGGCAGAGGTAGAGGATCACTGCCAGTATGAAGCCAGATTGGTTTACAGACAGTGAGCTCCAGGCCAGCTGGTGTTACACAGTGAGAGCCTGACTCAAACACAAAACAAAACCAAAGCAAACAAGTAAAATAAGGATATTCTTTTTCTGAGTGGTGCTGGAGGTCTTGCTCTCCCATACGCAAGCAATCTACTACTCTGCTACACCTCCAGCCCATTTATGCCCTGAACCCCACCTTAGCTCCTGTCAATCAGCTTTCTACTTCCTTCATGCCTCGCTTCCTTAGATCTTCCAACAAATCCAACTTCCTTTTCCACTGGCAACTTTGCAAAGCTAAATTAGTTTTAAACTCTATGGAACAGAGAAGGAAAGATGTGAAACTGTCTCTGGACTCAACTCAAGCAGAACTGGCGAAGGGCAGTGGGACAGGAGAACCCAAGGTGGAAGGGCGGAGGGGCAGCCAACACTCACTCACCAAGTTCCAGAAGCTCTCATGTTTGCTTGGATTCTCACTGCCCAGAACGTCTGCCGACAAACTATCCACCTCACACACGTGAAGTCGGACCCAGTCAAGGAGGTGGAGGAGAAGAGGGCCAGCTGAGAGGAGAGACTGGTATCACACACAAAAACCTTGGCTTCATCTACAGCAGGTTCCACTTTACCCAAAGCATAGGTACAAACTGTTAAGGCAGAGAAGCTGACTGGAGAGGCATTTATCTCTCAACTGGGTAAGAAAAGCATGGGGGCTTTTACAGGACCTTCCTCTGCCAGGCAGGACCATGTTTTGCTGAATCTTGGAATGGGTTGAACCTACACTCAGACTTTACCACTTTACAAAATCAGATTGTTTTGTTTTGTTGGATCAAGATCTTGCCCTATAGGCCAAGCTGGCCTTGAACTCTAGCTTCTGCCTCCTAAGTGTTGGAATTGTATCTAAACGTGAGGGGTACAGGTGTGTGCCATCACACCCAGCCACAGCCAGATTCCTTACAATATGCACTGTGATGTGCACGTGTGCATGCTGGATGCTGAATGACTGGTGCTGGCTAGCTGCTACATGATACTAGATGACAATGGCTACGTGGGAGCCTCCCGAAAATCCACCGGAGAAGGAAGTATTTGACAACTAATTTTTTGTTACTTCTTTGGGTTTAGCGGTTTTCTTTTTTGTTGTTTCTTTAGACAGGATCTTGCTATGTAGCCTAAGCTGGCCTCAAACTCTCAGTCCTCCAGCTACAGCCAGCAATCTAACAGAAGTGTGAATGAAAGGCTATACTACACAGAGTTTACAGTGCATTCATGGGAAACAGCAGACATAAATCCTTACACTGCAGAACCTCCAGAGCACATTTCTATAAAACACTGGAGGGATTACAATACAGCTTAAGATTAACAAAATAATCCTAACTACACAGGGATAATATCCGTGGTGGCCCAGCCTGTCCCATCATTAGTTACAGAATTCTCAATGCTATTTGGGCTCCCACCACCTAGTACCCCCTATTCCCTAGCACCTTAAGGCTGACCAGTCCATAACACACTGACCACCCCCCTTCGTACTACTTGAATATTTGTTTATCAGCACTTTCAAGGTATCATTACATAATATTTTGGGTTTCTGGAGCACTCCATATGGTTCTTTTCCCAATATCTGACATAACGTCCTATAGTTTGATGGTTATGCAGATGAACACTCTGGAATGAACCTCTCATCAGCAGAGCACCCATTAGGGTGCAGGTGAAAGATGGGGAAAGAACAAGGATGGCAGGGACCCCAGGGCAGTGATGACAGCATTATCCTCGGCTAACCTAAAGCTACCATAAAAAGAAACTGGACTTACCTGGGGCTACCTCAATAAAAAGAATCTCACACAGGTTCCAAATGAGCTCCATGGCTGACAAAATGGAGACCTACGGAGGAAAAAGAGACAGGTTTAACTGAAAATATTCCTGAGACCAGAACCTGAACAGAGGAAGAAAGTAGGGTCTGAATCACACAGTGGTCATTCACTAATGCAACAGTTAACTGATATGTCCATGGCAAGATTTCCCACCAGGAAGCCCAGGAAAGAAGTTCAAGTAGAGAGAGAAAAACTAGCACAATTTTAACAATACTGATTTTATTTTAAAGTGAATTAGAAAAAAAATAGCCAGCAAATCTATACTGATGATCTTTATAAATTAGGAAGAGGTTTATTTGAGTAAAAGGAACAGATAATTTTTAGAAAAACAGTCAGTTGAGTCAGTGAGATGACCCAACAGGTAATGGCACTCACTAACAAGCTGACAACCTAAGTTCAATTCCTGAGGCTGATACGGAAGAAGAAAACCGACTCCCACATGGGCACCATGGAATGTATGTGCATGCACATACATGCATACACACACACACACAATAAATAAACACAATAAAAAAATTTTAAAAAGGCTAGGTGTGGTGGCACATTCCTTTATTCCCAGCACACAGGAGGCAGAGGCAGAGGCGGGTAGATCTCTGTGAGTTCCAGGCCAGCCTGGTCTATATGGTGAGTTCCGGGACAGCTGGGGCTACAGGAAGACCATTTCAAAGAGACCAAAGTAGTCAGTAATAAAAACATAAATAAAAATTGCAAAGTTGGAGCCAGGGAGGTGGCACACACCTATAATCTAAACATTCAGGAGGGTGAGGCAGGAAGATCATGAATTCAAAGCCAGCCAAGAGTAGAGTTAGTTCCATGCCAGCTTCCCCTGTAATCCTAGCCCTTGGGATGTGGGGGTAGGAGGATCCAGACTTCAAGGCCAACCTGGGCTACAAGAGATCCTAACTTTAATAAAAATAAAAAAAAATAGAGCCAGGTGTGGTGGCGTACACCTTTAGTACCAGCACTTGGGAGACAGAGGCAGGCAGATCACTGAGTTCAAGGTCAGCCTGGTCTATGTAGTGAGTTCCAGGGCAGCTGGGGCTACAAGGAGAAAAAAGACCAAAAAAAAAAAAAAAAAAAAAAAAAAAAGAGTAACTGGGTGGATGACACATGACTTTTTTTTCTGTTTTTTTTGGTATTTTTGAGACAGGGTCTCCCTGTAGCCACAGCTGGCCTAGAACTCGATATGTAGACCAGGCTGGCCTTGAACTCACAGAGATCTGCCTGACTCTGCCTCCCCAGGGCTAGGACTAAAGGCGTGTACTACCATGCCCGGCTGATGGCACATGCCTTTAATCTCACGATTCAGGAGGCAGGAGCAAGTGAACCTCTGTGAGATTCTGGTCTCTATAGCAAGCTGGATGACATGTACACACCTGTAACCCCAACTACAAGGGGGGCAGAGATAGTGGGATCACTGGGGCTTGCTGGCTTCCAGCCCAGCTTTCTGAGAATGCACAAGCCCCAGGTTCAGGGAGAAAGGGATTAGGAGGAGAGTGATAGAGGAAAATACCCAACACCCTCTTCTGGCCTCAATGTGCATAGACAGATGTGTGAACATATACATACACATACACTCACACAGCCAGCAATTAAAAACACACATACGCCAGGCATGCGGTGAATCTCTGTGAGTTCAAGGCCAGCTGGGGCTACAGGGAGACCTTGTCTCAAAAAGGCCCCAAAAAACTACACTCACACACATACAACTGGTGTGGTGTTTGAATTAATGTTGCCTTTAGCTGATGACCACACACCTTTAATCCCAGCACTCAGGAGGCAGAGGCAAGTGGAGCTCTGTGAGTTCCATGCCAGCTGGGGCTACAAGGAGACCCTGTCTCAAAAAGGCCAACCCAAAACAAAACAAAACAAAACAAAAAAACATACAGGCATTGGGAGATGGCTCAGCAGTTAAGAGCAATGGCTGCTCCTGCAGAGATCATAGGTATGGTTCCCAGTACCCACATGGCAGATGGCAGCTAACAACTGTCCTTCACTCCAGTTGCATTGCCTCTGCAGGCACTGCAAAATTGGGTGCACTTACATACATGCAAGTAAAACAATCATACACATAAAAATAAGTTAACATGGGGGCTGGAGAGATGGCTCAAAGATTAAGAGAGCACTGACTGTTCTTGCAGAAGACCTGGGTTTGAGTCCAGGAACCCACATGGCAGCTGAAACTCCAGTTCCAGGGGATCCCACGCCCTCTTCTGTCCTCCACAGGCACTGCACACACAAGTGCACTTACACACATGCAGGCATAATATTCATACACATAAAATAAAAAAATTGACACAGGCAGGCAGGCAGACAGACAGACAGAGACACACACACACACACACAGAGGCTAAGAAATGGCACAGCTTAAGAGTGCATACTGCTTTTCCAGAGGACTCAAGTTCAGTTCCCAGCTCTCACATCAGGCAGCTCACAACTGCCTGTAACTCCAGCTCCAGGTGATCTGACGCTCTCTTCTGGCCTCTTTAGGCACCCACACACATACATATATACTTACATACAACACACATACATACACCTACATAGAAACACACAAACATACATATATAAAATAAGTAAATCTTGAGCCAGGTGTGGTTGTGCACACCTTTAACTCCAGCACTCTGGAGGCAGAGGCAGGCAGATCTCTATGAGTTCAAGGCCAGCCTGGTCTACATAGTGAGTTCCAGGCCAGCTGGGGCTACAGGGTGACCCTGTCTCCAAAAGACCAAAAAAATTTTTTTAATTAAGAAAAAAATAAAACACACAACAAAATCTAAAGGCAAAGTCTTCACTAGTGGTATAGCTCAGTGGGAATATACATGCTTAGTAAACCCAGGGCATAAAATAAAAAGGCAAAGTCCAATAACGCCCCCCATAATATAAATCAGATCACCTGTCCTTAAGAATATGAAGGCTCCCCTGTACCCTTATCCTTCTGTTTAGACACCATCATGTCTTGTTCACAGGAAGAATAAACAATATGCCAACCAGACATGGTATATTATTCCTATTCACTAGACTTGTGAAAACACCAAGAGAATTCTAAGAGACTCCTATGCATCACCATCCAGTTCTAAGGTTCCAAAAGCTCAGTTCATTGGGTGTGGAGGCACATGCCTTTGATCCAGCACTTGGGAGGCAGAGGTATTGATGTGAATTCAAGGACAGCCTGATCTACATAGTGAGTTCCAAGCCAGCCAGGACTATGTAGTGAGACCTTGTCTCAAAAAAAAAAACAAAAGAAAACTCTCCATCTCAAGCAGCAATTTCTCAACACTCTATGATTAGGATTTATACTTTCCACAAGTATTTATCAAGCACAGCTTGTGTTCTAATAGGCTAGACCTTGAAAGGAATACTTGCCACTCCAGAGCAGGCTATCTACCTAGAAAGGATAAACTGCTCTAATAGTCCACAAAGTCACCCTTAGGTAGTGTTAAGGCAAAGAGGGACACAGTGGTAGTTTACAACAAAAGCAGCTATCCCTTACCTGGCTGCTGAACTGGTGGCCGCAAGCTGGATCTTTAGAGGCAACTAGCAGAAAACAAAACATTTTAAGTGAGTGTAGGCCCTGGAGGCTCCTGTCTTTGTTTCTTTCAATGGCAACCATTTTCAAAGGAAGTGCCAATGTTTCACATCAAACAGGTCCACAAGTTACAAGCAGCTCTGGGGAAAACACCACCAAGATCACATTAGGCACTGAGGAACCACGCTCATGGTCATGGCACCTTTAAGTCACCAAAGTCAAAGGACTGGGAATATAATTTTCAAAGGCTCTTAATTTGGCACTTTAGCCTCATACCATGAAGAAACCAGGAAGTCAAGCAACTCAACATTCCAGCTTGAAAAACACTTGGGGGGCCGGAGAGATGGCACAGCAGTTAAGAGCACTGAATGCTCTTGCAGAGGACCCAGGTTAGATTCTCACCCACATGGCGGCTACGAACCATCCTTAACTCCAGTTCCAGGGGAATCTAAAGTCCTCTTCTGACCTCTGTGGCACTGCACAACACGGGTACACTCACACACATGTAGGTAATACACTCATACACATAAAATAATAAATAAAATATTTAAAAAAAAGAAAACCACACTCAGGAAGATGACAAAAATGTAAAGATTATGTAAGGCAAAACCATAGTTTGGGATTGGAACATCAGATTCCATCTCACAGTATTCACAGGCAGATACATACTTCAAATACACCCAAGATCCTTACTTGCAAGCTGATGCATTTCCTCCATACATGCTCTTATGACTGATCGGTAATTTTTACTCACTCGAACCAATCTACAGAAAAACAAAATGGCATTCAGGATGAGTTGGGAACATATCTTTTTTTTTTTTTTTTTTAATTTTTGGCCCTTTTGAAACAGGGTCTCCCTGTAGTCCCAGCTGTCCTGGAACTCACTATGTAGACCAAGCTGGCCTTGAACTCACAGAGATCCGCCTGCCTCTGCCTCCCAAGTGCTGGGAGTACAGGCGTGCACCACCACGCCCGGCTATTATTTTTATTTTATATGTATGCATGTATTATCTGCATGTAGGTAAGTGCACTGGGCCACACAATGCCCGTGGAGGACAGAAGCTGTCAGATCCCCTTGAACTGGAGATACAGACAGTTGTTAGTTGCCATGTGGATGCTGGGATTCAAACCAAGGTCTTCTGCAAGAACAGCCAGTGTTCTTAACCGCTGAGCCATCTCTTCAGCCTGGGAACATATCTTAGTGTTAGAGAGAGAGTAATAAAAAAGAAAGGATAGCTGGGCGTGCTGGTGCAGAGGCAGGTGAATCTCTGTGAGTTAGAAGCCATCCTGTTCTACATAAGGAGTTCTAGGCAGCCAGTACTACAGAGTGAGACCTTGTCTCAAAAAAGACAGGAGAGGGGCTGAACATGTGACTCATATGTGGGATTAAAGGTGTGTCCCACAGTGCCTAGCTCCCACTAGGCTTACTCCTTGTTCTTGTGAGACAGGGCCTTTACTAGATAGCAGGCTGTCAAACTCATGATCCTTTTGCCTCAGCCTCTTAGGTACTGGGATTACAGACACATGCTACAAGAGTTGGCCCAAAACAGAGCAGCTGTTAACCTTAGTACTTGGGAAGTCGAGGCATATATATAAATTTTTAAATCTCCTCAAAAATGGGATCTAATTTAATGATTCTCAAGGGCTTATCTGGCCTAACTTTCCTTCTCTGAGGAGCAGATGAAGTAGGAACACAAGCAGAAGCTTCTCAGTCAAGTAAGTCAATCAACAGCACTTGTACAATCTCTCATGTTCCATCCTGGTGAGACACAGGAGGACCAGGAACCCTGTAGACCCTCCTGCCACTCCAAACAATCATTTGGCTTTTCACAATTTAGTTATTGACACCAGCAGCTACCAACACCCTACTTACTGAGTTTTTCTGGATTTTCCAGTCAATTCTTCTTCAATTCTCTGGAGGCCAACAAAAATTCCATGGGATTCATTGAAGAGTTTTCTCAAAATGTGAGAGTAAACATCCACATCTTTCCGAATGAGATAGATAAAAGGACAGCTTGGCACTTTCTCTGATTTGTCTGGAACGAAACAGGAAAAAATTTAACACCTCTCATTTCCCGCCAAAGAGAAATAAGTATTTCTAGTATTTCTAAGTCTTTAATGTAAAAAAAAAAAAAAAAAGGCTGAGCTGCACATAGTGACACATGCCTTTAATCCCAGCATTCAGGAGACAGAGGCAGACAGATCTCTATGAGATTGAGGCCAGCCTGTTCTACATGAGTTCCAGGCCAGCTGGGGCTACAGAGAGACCCTGTCTCAAAAAGTCAGAAAAAATAAACAAACTGGCTGGATGTGGAGGCACACAACTATAATCTCAGCACTTGGAAGCATGATGTAGAAGGATCGCAGGTCCAAGATCAGGCTGGTCCACATCAATTCCAGGCCAGTCAGGGCTACATACAAAGAGCCTAGTTCCAAAAGACTTTTTTTTAGGGGTTGGTGTTGAGATGGGGGTCTCGCTCTGTAGCCTATGATGGAATCAAACCATGGTAATCCTGCTGTCTCAGCCTCTCCAGTGCTAGTGCTAAGGTTACAGGCATGCACAACCATAACAGCTTCATCCTTTGGTGGGGGGTGATGGTCCAGCGAAGGGTCATGCACCTGCTATGGAAGCACTCTATCACCGACTCCTTGGGTTTAGAGAAAAGGGTCTGGCAATATCTCCCAGGCTAGCCTGGAACTCTCCATCCTCCTGATACTACTCTGAAGTCACAGGCTTATAAGCACGCATTGCCATGTGTAGATGAACCTTTCACTCCTTGGACTGCACTCATAAAAAGTGAATTGCTATGGAGGGTGCTGGGGATTAGGTCAGTGGTAGAATGCTTGCCTAGCAACTAGCACAAGGCCCTGGATTTGGTCCTCACCTCTGGTGGGAAAACTGAATTGATGTAGATTACCTTTTTCAGTTACCCAGAAATGAATTTTGATTTTTATATTTTGGTGCTAGAGATTAAGTACAGGGTAGTATGCATGTAAAGCAGATATTCGCCCACCGAGCTATGTCTGGGCTCTTACATAGGGTTTTCTTTTACATTTATCTATTTTCTATGTGTGGATGTACACCACGAGCATGCAGAAGTCAGAGGACAACTTGGAAAAGTCAGTTTTCTCCTTCTACCATATAGGGTCTTGGGATGGAACTCAAACTGTCAGGCTTGGCAACAAGAGCCTTTTACCCAATGAGCCATCAACAGGCCTCACATAAATTTCTAAATACAAACACTTATTCTCAAACTTCCCTCCTCAGCCCACTAGCATACTGTGGAACTACTTTTGCTTTCAACTGAAATATAACAGGAAAAAAGGAAGCCCATTTAATATGAGCCTAGGTAAAAATAAAAGTAAATAAAGTCAAAGTTTCTGATACCTTCAAAGTCAAGAAAATATTATTTTTAAAAAATGTTTTACTTTATTATTTTTATTTTACATGTATGAGTATGTTGCCTGCATGTATGTGAGTGCACCCGTGTCATGCAATGCTGTGGAGGTCAGAAGAGGGCTTCGAATTCCTCTGAAACTGGAGTTAAGGATGGTTCATAGCCACCATGTGGGTGCTGGGAATCGAACTCGGGTTCTCTGCAAGAGCAGTCAGTGCTCTTAACTGCTGAGCCACCTCTCTAGAACCCAGGTCCTCTGCAAGAGCAGTCAGTGCTCTTAACTGCTGAGCCATCTCTCCAGCCCCAAGAAAATATTATTTTTAAGCTGTAAATATTATTTTTAAGCTGCACATACCTGTAATCCCAAGACTCAAGAGACTGAAGCAGGAGAACTGCCACAAGTTTGAAGGCACTCCAGGCCAACCACGGTTACATGGTAAGACCCTGCCTCAAAAAGAAAAAGAAAAAAGAAAGCCCACAGGCTAGGGTATGGCTCAATGAGTAAAGTGCTAGCTGTGCAAGCATGATGTTCCGAGTTCAGACCCCCAGAACCCACATGACACAGGTCAGTAACACAGGTGTATAATCCCAGCACTTCTAAGGCAAGATGGGAGACAAGAAGCTCACAGGTCCACTAGCCTGGAATATGCAGAAAAAAAGAGGAGATCCTATCTCAAATAAGGAAGAAGGTGAAGGGAGACACCCGCAGCTGTCCTCAAATTGTAGGATTACAGGCTGGGATCAGAGGCATGAAGCAATCATGCTTCGCTTCTTTTATTACTTTTATTTTTATTTTATTTATTTTATTTTTTGATCTTTTTGAGACAGGGTCGCCCTGTAGCCCCAGCTGTCCTGGAACTCACTATGTAGACCAGGCTGGCCTTGAACTCACAGAGATCCGCCTGCCTCTGCCTCCTGAGTGCTGGGATTAAAGACGTGCACCACCACGCCCGGCTTTTTTATTATTATTGTTATTTTTATTTTATGTCTATGCATGTACTGTCTGCATGTAGGTTAAGTGCACCTGTGTCATTCAATGCTCGAGGAGGTCAGAAGAGGCTGTCAGATCCCCTGGTACTGGAGTTAGACAGTTGTTAGCTGCCATGTGGACGCTGGGATTTGAACCTGGGTCTTCTGCAAGAACAATCAGTGTTCTCAAACACTGAGCAATCTCTCCAGCCCCACTTGGCTTCTTTTCACCTTCAATGGGAAAGTTTAGTAATATTTCTCTGCTGAATATGGTTTGTTCTGGTAATCTCAACTGGGAAGACTGACACAGGAGGGTCACTCACACTGAGTTTAAGGCTAACTCCAGCTACACAGTGAATTCAATGGCAGCCTGGGCTTTACAAGGAGATCATGGCTTTAAAAAAAAAAAAAGCTGGATGGGCATGCCTTTAACCCCAGTACTTGGGAAGCAGAGGCAAGAGGAACTCTGAGTTGGAGGCCAGCCTGGTCTACATAGTGAGTTCCAGGCCCAGCCAGCTGGGGCTACAGGGAGACCCTGTCTAAAAAATAAATAAAACTCCACAAGTGTGGTGAAGTAACTACATCATTTTGGAAAATGAGGCAGGAAGACTGTCTTGAGTTTAAGACAGTATCTGGGTGACCTAGTGTGTGCCAGCACAGCTTAGGCCAGAGACAGACCCTGTTGCAAAAAAAAAAAAAAAAAAGAAGTTGTATGTGACAGCACATGCCTTTAGCCCCAACTACTCAGAGGGCTGAGGCAGGAAGACTGAGCCTAAGTGTTTGGCATTAGTCTGGGCAACACCATGTGACTCACATCTAAAAAACATTAGGTGCAGTAGGGCACAGCTCAAATTCCAGCACTCTAGAAACTAAGGTGGGAAGATACTGAATTCAGAAGTGGCCTGGGGAACAGAACAAAACCCAGAAATTCAAGGCCAGTCAGGGTTACACAGGAAAACTCTGTCTCAAGATACAAAAACTTTCAAAAATGAAAATGTTGCAGGATAAGTTCAAGCAGTTTCATGCCCCAGGTAGACAAATCTACGAGGATAACAACATATGCACCAAGACAGATAATACTGAAAAGTGACTACCTGTTTTGTTGAAGGAAGTTTCACACACCAGCATCTCCCCAGGACCCCACTCAAAACACATCTGCTTCTTCTTGGAGTTCACACCTGGAATCCACTAGTAAAAAATAAGGCATATTAACTGTTGCTCCTACTGAAAGGTTTTCTTTCCAAGCAACTTGCAAATGTAATCCTAAGAATCAGTAGTCAGGAAAAGAAGTCCTAGTCGGTGCGCTCAGGTAGGTGTGACTGAGATAGCTCAGTCTGCTGGAACCCTAAGAGACCCCTAAGAAAGCAAGCCAGCTAATTTACTGAGCACCTCAACCCAGTCTGCCAGCACTTGGCCCAGCATGGTAGAGCACACCTGTTGCAATCCCAGCATTTAACAGCCTGAGGCAGGAGGATCACGAGTTTAAGGCTAGCCTAGGATACTGAACTTTTTGTTAATGAAAAAAGAAATTCCCAATCCCACCATAGCTTCTGTATCTCTACAGTTTAGACCAATGCCTTTGAGCCTCCACTTCACATATCTGGATAAGCTGCATCTCTAATCTTCAGAGCTATATCCATAAACATGCATCAAAAAGGAACTTCTGTTTCTTCCAAAGAAAATTCATTCACAAGACAAACCAGACAGGAGATCCAAGTCCCCATCTGCCCCCTCCTCACCACTTCTTAAAAATCTACTTGAAACACAGTCTCACGCAAACCAGGATGGCCTCAAACGCCTTAGGAAATGGAAAAGGAGCTTGAACTTCTGATCATCCTGCCTCCACCTCTCTAGTAATGGGATTCTAAACGGTGGGACACCTCGCCCAACTTCCCCTTTACTTTTTGAGAATTCTCAGCCTCCAGAGTGCTAGGCTTACAAGAGGGCACCACCAAGCCCAGCTACTTATCACGGATCATCCACACTGGACATACACGCTCCTGTAAGCCCAAGTGGAACTGAATACAGAGCAACAAAAATAGTCTACAGTCTCCCAAAAGAATAAGCGCTTTTAATCAACCCTGGGCCGGCACAATACAAGAGGGAGCAGCTAAGCTCCCGGTGCTGCAACGTGAAGCTTGTGGCAGAGCTCACGCTAAGGAAAAACTACAGAAGCAGAAAGAACAGAGAGGCGAGGCCGGCGGGATGCAGCGGCCACCACCAGGCTTGTGAGCGTTCACAGAAACCGGGACCACCCGCCCGAGCCCAGGGACACCCGAACGGCGGCAGCTGAGCCGCGGAAGAGGCACCCGTCCGGAGGGGTAGACAGAGGGAAGAAGGCGACGACCTAAGCGTCGCCAGGAGTCTTACAGTGACTGTGGGCTCGCAGTCCAGCTCCTCCATTGCGCCGTGCTGGGATCTCGCGGGGCAGCGCAGCTCCGCAGTCCCGCCTCCCGCTCAGAGCCAGCTGCAGCGAAGGACCCCCGGGCGACTTCCGCGGCGCCTGCACACTTCCAGCGCAGAGAGCGCTACCTCCGCCACGCCAGCCCTCGGGGCCCTCCGCACGGGCCCACCTTCACTGACAGCGCGTCAGGGAAAGCAGCGCCGGGGCCTCTATCCTACGGGAACGCCCCGGTCCGACCAGGCGGCGCCGCGGGCAGACACGAGCCGGGCGGGGAGAAGGCCCCTGGGGATGGCGGGCGCGGAGACGGCACAGGGACGTGCGCATGCGCGGGGCCTGCTGCGCCTGTACTCGGGTCTTTATCCGGTCTGCCACCTTCTCCGGACGCTGGCTGTCCTCCCGCCGGCTCTACGTTTCCCACACGTAGTCAGTCCCAGCCTCTGCCGCCCCGAAGATCGAGGCGCGTGCGCGGAAGCAGCGGAACCGATTCGCGATGCGGCTGACCTTGCTTACTGATTACCTGTGATTTTGTTAGAATTCATGACGAAAAGGCTTCGTGAGATTAAGGAAACAAGCCGAATCCACCATCGCAGATGCAGTTATCTTCACTAGCCCAGAGGAGCCCAGAGGTCAGGTAAGCAACCCTCGCGCGAGATGGAGATTGTGCGATGGGGCTAGGGGAAGGCTGAGTTTTGTAGGGGCCGAGAACAGGTCGTGCATTCTTGGGTGGTTTCGATTTTTTTTTTTTTTTTTTTTTTTTTTTTTTTTAGACCAGGCTGGCCTTGAACTCACAAAGATCTTCCTGTCTCTGGGTCCCGAGTGCTGGGATTAAAGCGTGTGCCGCTATGCCTGGTAAATTTAATTTTTATCTTTAAAAATATTTTTTAAGGGGGCTGGAGCGCTGGCTCAGAGGTTAAGAGCATTGGCTGCTCCTGCGGAAGATCTGAGTTCGATTCGTGAATTGATTAGCAACCTGATCCAAGTTACTCCATTTGCCTACTTATGGGAAATACCCAGAAGGGGGAGCAACCTTGAGGTCCAAGAAAATGGCCTAACCACAAAACCGCAGAATGTGCTGACCTGGGACATCCTGCATCTGGCTAACTGCTTATTTTGCTTCTGTAACTTGCTTGCTTTATTTCAGGTCACCTTGATATGTAGTATGAGACCACCCTGTTATTCAGTGACCATCTGGTAACTGCTGATTTTGGCTTCTGTTACAATGTTTGCTTGTTATGGCTAGGGAGTTGGCTAATTTTAAAATTGCTGAGTTGTGGCAGGGCATGGTTGTCCACGCCTTTAATCCCAGCACTCGAGAGGCAGAGGCAGGCGGATCCCTGTGAGTTCAAGGCCAGCCTGGTCTCCATAGCAAATCCAGGCCAGCTAGGGCTACAGGGAGACCCTGTCTCAAAAAGACAAAAAAAAAAAAGCCAGTCGTGGTGGGGCCGCCTGTAGTCCCAGCACTTGGGAGGCAGAGGCAGGTGGATCTCTGTGAGTTCAAGGCCAGCCTGGTCTACATAGTGAGTTCCAGGACAGCTCTGGCTACAGGGACCCCCTGTCTCAAAAAGACCAAAAAAAAAAAAAAAATTGTTGAGTTGTACACTTCTAATTGGATGTTTCTTTTATTGGATGTTTCTTTTTAAAAAATATTTTATTATTTTTTATTTTATGTGTATGAGTGTATTGCCTGCGAGTGTGTGAGAGCACCCGTGTCGTGCAATGCCTCGGAGATCAGAAGAGGACTTCGGATTCCCCTGGAACTGGAGTTAAGGATAGTTTGTAGGTGCCATGTGGGTGCTGGGAATCAAACCCGGGTCCTCTGCAAGAGCAGTCAGTGCTCTTAACCGCTGAGCCATCTCTCTAGCCCCTGGATGGTTCTTTAAATAAAGCCCTTGTAACCCTATAAAAATCTTGTTAAAAACCGTTTGGGGCTGCTTCTACTCCTAAGATAGACAGCCCGGCTGGTTGTAATAAAATTTTACCTTTCTGCTAAAGTGGTGGTGGTGGTTTTGTGCAAACTCCCAACTTGTAACATTTGGAGTTCCCACCAAGATCCAGAGAGCCTTGTGGCCCTGCGGTGAACACCCCCTGAGGGGACCTGCTTTTCAATTCCCACCTCTCCTGTCTTCCCCAGCCCTCAGGCTTTTCCTCCTGCTCCACTAGCAAGGTAAAAGCGGGTTAAACCGCCTATTTGGTATCTCTGTTGATTTTGGCTAGCTGGTGATTTTTTGCCATCTGGTTCTGGGATCTGATCTGACTTACTAGGTAGGAAGCTGGACACAGCAAACCTCCCCCTAGTCAGGCACCAGAGGGGACGCCCCTGGATCCTTAGACATAGTGGCAACCTGGTCGGTGTTGTCTATTTGTTCTCATCTTACTCTGTTTTGGAATAGTGTCTGTTTTTGTCAGACTGAGTCTAAGAGTGCTACTCCATTAGAATGTATGATAAATAATTTTTCTGATTTTAGGAAAAGAGCAGGGGGTTAAGCCCCTAGACCCTGTGTGAACTAGAGTGGCCAACCTTCCATGAGACCAGTTGGCCTTCTGAGGTAACTTGTGATCTAACCATTACGGCTTCTGTTCTCAGGATTTGTAACCAGTTTCATCCTGACCAGATCCCTTACATAGTTACATGGGTTGATCTACTTAATAACCCACCACAATGGATCACACAATGCCAGAAGACTTAGCAGCTGAAGAGGACATCTCCACCTCATCCCTCAGCTCCCCTTGCTCTCCTTCCTGTTTCTAAACTTAAGAGATTGTACCCTGTTCTTCAGGAAGATGAGGATCCCCTAGATCCCCCTCCCTATGTTCCCCAGGTTCCTCAACCTCCACCGAGAGCAGATTCTGCTGATGACAGCTCCCCTCCCGGTGGTGATATGCAAAGCCCACCTCACACCCGGATGGGGACCAGATACAGAGACTCTCACCCTCCGGTTGGGGCCTCCGCATCCCAGACTCCACTAGCCCTTTTACCCCTGTGGGAGGTTACCTTAGCACGTGGAAACAACGGGAAAAAGGCCTATCTGTGTTTGTTTATGCCCCTTTTTCCACTACTGATCTTTACAACTGGAAGTCTCAGAACCTCCCTTTTCGGAGGACCCCTCCAAACGCACTTATTTGCTCAGCTCCATTTTTATAACCCATTGTCCCACCTGGGACGATTGCCATCAGCTCCTACAGGTACTCTTCATCTCTGAGGAACAAACCAGGATTCTTCCAAAGGCTACCCGTTCTGTCCTGGGGGCAGATGGCCTCCCATCACAAGACCAGGCAGTTATTGAGACGGTCTTTCCATCTGCCTGAACACAGTGGAACCCCAACACCGCTGAGGGGCGGGAATCACCTTGCCAGGTACCGCCAGACACTGTTGCAGGGACTGTGAGCAGCAACCCAGAAACCCATGAATTTATTCAAGGTCAGTCAGACTGTACAGGAGCCAGGGCCTACGGCCTCTATATCCCTATTGACCCTGAGGACCTTAGAGATTGCCTTCGTTTCTCAGTCAGCCCCAGACATTAGAAAAAAACTACAGAAATTAGAAGGGTTCAAAGGAAGATTAATATCTGAGTTAATGGAAATAGCCAGAGAGTCTATATTAACCAGGACTCCTCGCTCAGGAGCAAGGAAATAGGAACAGTGTTAATGGCCTCTTTAGGAAGGGATATTAGACGGCCTCAGAGGGACAGGAGAGATCCCTGTAAGCCTCCAAAGGATGGGTTAGACAAGCCCAGGCTCAGAAGAAACCAGTGTGCTTAGCGCAAGGAGGAAGGCCACTGGAAGGGTGAATGCCCTAACCACGAGGGAAAAGACTGGCCTGGCTGTTGAGGAGGCATGACATGGCCTTGGTTTTTCCCTCAATCCCCAGGAACCAAGGGTCACTTTACAGGTAGAAGGGAAGCCTACCAGATTCATGGTAGACACTGGGACTGCCATTTCAATGCTAAAAGAGCCCTTAGGTACTCCTGAGGATAAAAAGTTGATTATTCAAGGAGCCACTGGAAAATACCAGTCTTATTCCCAAACTAGAGCTTGAATAATTGATCTAGCCAAAGAAACTGACCCATTCCTTCTGATAGCGGACTGCCCCTACCCCTTGTTGGGGAGGGACCTCTTGCATAAGCTAAAGGCAAATATAGCCTTTACTGGGGACTCAGTTTAATCATCCAAACCTCTACTGTCCTTGTTACTTGCCCTTTGTCGGAGGAGTATCTTCTGCATCGGGAACCCCATGGGAAGAAACAGCAAAGGGCTCCATCAGCCTTGTTAGAAATATGGAGGACCAGCCAGGCGTGGTGGCACACACCTTTAGTCCCAGCACTTGGGAGGCAGAAGCAGGCGGATCTCTGTGAGTTCAAGGCC